GCATTCGTTCATATTACATGTTCTATTTTACGTCTACAAATTGAAAAATTTACACGGATATAAACAAGGGCAACAAACTATCCGTGTTCCGTCTGCATGGTAAGAACTACCATTTAATAGTTTGCTACCAATCTATGGCTCTTCTCCCAAATTCTATCAATTGTACATCTACGACACAGAGAATGAAGTTGCAAACATATTCTCTTTTGTGAGGTATATTTAATTTTATCATTTAATCTTCTGTACGAAGTTTATTTTTTTTATTTTTTTATATTTTGTTGAGAACTTAATTTATTAATTTAATTATATTCTTCGTTATTTTTTCCAGAAAATGTGTAGACCAAAATATTCTTGATGAGGATATAGTTCGCGGTTTGAAAGAGATGCATGATCAGAGTAATGTGTTGAATGTTGCATCCAGTGGTATCGCTTCACATTTGCTTCATGGCGGATGACTGCGCACTCTCAATTTAGAATCACCCTAAACCCAACAAATCGTTCTTCATGTGATACTAGCAAGCAAAGTCCGTTGGTGAAACTGATTTACGATTTCGGTTGATCATTTGGGATGAAGCACTGATGATAATTAGGTATTGCTTCTATGCGGTCAAGACTACCTTGCGAGCTTTAACGGAAATAGTGAATCCATCGAGAAAAATATCTCCAATTTGGTGGCAAGTCTATTGTATTTGGTGGCGATTTCAGACAGATACTTCCCGTTGTCCAAAAAAGCACTCGGAATGACATCATGAATGCCACCATCAATTGCCAATTTGTGGCGGGATTGTATAGTTTTGATGCTTACTTGGAATATGAGATTTCAAAGCCTTGGTGGGGGTGACGAGTACGATGAGTCGAGGTGCTTCTCGAGTGTCTTGCAAGCATTGACGATGGTATAATCAGTGGATCGAATGATGGATGTGCGGATATTGATATTCCCCGATATTCTTTTCAAATCAGAAAGGGATCCTATTATTGCTATTATTGAGAGTACGCACCCCATGTTCAGGAGTTCGGAGACGATCTTAGCTATTTCAAGGAAAGAGCCATACTCACTCCGTCACTTGATGTCGTTAAGTCCGTTAACGAGTACATGAACTCACTGAACTCCTCCAAGGTAACGTCTCATTTGAGTTAAGACACCACTTGCAAGTCAGATGCTGGATTTGACTATCTTCACGATCTTCATACTCCTGAATTTCTCAACGGGATTAAGTGCTAGGGGCTTCCGAATCATAAATTGTACTTGAAGGTCGTCATTCAAGTGATGTTGCTGAGAAACATGGATCGCTCCATGGGGTTGTGTAACGGTGTTGATCAAAATTCTATCTATCATTTATATTTTCTTTGATTCGTATACAAATTCGATTGAAGGCATGTCCTCGAATGTAAAATTTTAACTGGTGCCAGAGCTGGTAATAAGGTTCTTATTCTTATTCCTAGGCTCACAATCATCCCATCCGATTTGAGGGTACATTTGAAGTTTCAGCGCATGTTGTTCCCTCACATGATTTCTTATACTATGACAATCAATAAGAGTCAAGGGCAGTCTTTGCCGCACATCGACTTACCACTTAAGAGCCATGAATTTAGCCATGGATAATTGTACATGGCACTTTTCATAGTTACAAGTCGGAGTGGTATGAAAGATAATGATTTGTGGTGATGGAGATTCTAACGACAAAAAATCTACAAACGTTGCATATAAAGAGTGTTTAATAATATTTAGATTTTCTTTCTTAAAACGTTTTTTTTTCAATAGTTATGTTATGGTTTTTACTATTGCTTAGTTTTTTTTTCTTAATCATATAGTTTTCCGTGCAAATGCACGGGTTACAACTAGTAAAGTTGTAATTTAAGTATATTTTTTTCTGTTTGACAAATTAATTCTAATACTTGCAAATTGAGGTACGAATTTTGGTTTCGGTGACAAACATACTAGCAAGTGGATTTGCCCCAAAGTTGTTGAATTTTAGGATTCGGTATGAGCTTTTTAACTATAGTTTCCATTCGAGATTATTATATTATTGACTAATGAGGTGGTTCGAAAAACTATGACAGGATCTAAATGATATTCGAGTTTTACCGTACTCATGTATTACACAGTTGATCGTTAAAAAATTTAAAATAAAATTGAAAATTAGTAATGTACTTTTTTTTGAATTTTAAATATTTCGAAAAAATATATTATTATTTATATTTAAAATGACATCAGTCACTTATACGACTTGTTTATCTTCTATTATAATATTTTTTTAATTTATATCATATAACTATATTTTAGTTAAATTAATTTAAATAGTTCTAATGTTTTTTCAAATCATATTATTAGGCAATTTAATTTTTATTATAAAGATAAATATAATTATTTATTTTTTGTACGTACTATATAGGTGATAAATAAAAGTTTATCAAGAGATAATTAATTTGATATATTATAATTAACAAATTTATTATAAATTCAAAAATAATAACTTTTAAGATAAATTTATAGTTTAAGTTAGTATTTTTTTTTTCTAATTATAGAAATAAAGAACCAAGGAAACCGGAAAAATTGAGTAAAAATTTTGTGCCTTATAAACCATTTCTAGAATAAGAAATGATATCAAAACATAATTATTGTTTCTAAAAAAGATCATAAATATCCATCCACTATATTTATAGTTATTTCAGACCTACTTATATTTGGATTGAAAGTAATCTAAAATCTATCAAAGTCAAATTACGAAGCATGAAAATTTATTATATAAGATCCTGAAATGTGCAAAGCTGCCAATTAAACTCAGCACATTCGAGAATTATATACTGGAGATATTATGTAACTTATGTCATCAAATATGGTTTTTCATTCCATATTATGTAAATAATGTCATCAAAAAGATGGTTTTTGCGGTTGCCGCTTTTGAGTGAGATTATTTTATTTTATTTTTTTTTTCAAATTTACGTTAAGTTTTTTTTTTATATTTGTTATATGGGAAAAAACTATTTTCTTGAATTTATTTTATTGTGGCCCATTAATTAATAACCGCTTTTCTCTAATGTATACTTCCTTTATTGTCCAACAATAATTATAACAAAATATTACTACTGAAACTAATAAGTCTGTCAGCAGTAATTTGCCTATAGACTACAATTTTGTGCCTAAAAAAAAAAAAA